CCCTACAGAACTGCTCCTTGCTATCCTTCCAGCCTCCTAGTAACACAGGGCTGTCATGAGGCCCAATGGAAAGAGTGGGTGTGAAAATGCTTCACCATAAATATGGTAAGGACTATCAGTGCACATTTAATATCTCTTCCATCTCTTGCCTTCCCCTCTAATGAAAGCTGCTCGCATTCAAGACTACTGTTGGCCCCAGAGGCCTGGTCTGTGACCAGGGGACGGAATTAAGCTAATCATCCCACCTCTGTATCATAGCTACATTGGGGCCTCCTCCATCACAGGAACTAAAGGTAAGGCAGCTGAACCAGGTTCGCAGCACATCACCTAGATCCCTTTCCTCTGACCCACCACCCCAGCCCACATCCACAGGCAGACAGAAGCAACTGGGAGGATATCCTCTGGCCGCAGCCCTGCCACCGCTTGATGGACGCCCTTTCCACTGGGCTGCCACAACCCTGGCTTTAAAAGAAGTAGAATGAGATGATTTCCAAGGGCTTATCCAACTCTTATGTTCTAGATAAGTTCAGTTTCTAGATGCAGAGTGAGAACATCACACAAAAAGGTCACAATATTTGAGAACAGACTTTACGAACACAGAGACTTCTCAGGATGGCCAAAAGTTGAAAATTCAAGCCACTGAACTCTCCACTGGGACAGAGCAAACTGTCCTCTGGGTTGTGGTCACACCCGGGCTGCACTATTCACTCACTGCCCAACAAGCCCAGCCAAAGCTTTCGGTTGTGAATTATTTCCTAACCCTCTGAGGGGCCTTGTAACAAAATCTGGCTGAATCTTTGCATTTAATGCTCGTTATGAAGCTGTTTTTCATGACTAAAATACGTTACAGAAATTTTAGTTTAGAAGGGAGAGAATTGTAATTTGTCCTGAAATCCTACAACTTAACCAGTATAAGTTTCCTTCTAGATGTTCCCTGTGTTTGCTGTTACTGCTTGATCTGCCAAGAACCCCATGAATGCCAAAGAGCATCTTGTTTCTGGACCATTTTCCCCTGGTCCCACTGGCCAAAAAAACAAATGCAGCATTTCTGCTGTGTCTGTGTCAGAGAGCCCTGGTCTGGGAATATTTTCCTGGAATGTTATCCTGAAACAGCAGAAATGCACACACCTCTTAGGGTTCACACCTCTTCCACACTGTGTGCTCAACACCTAAGCATGTGTTTTGTCACCCACTTGCTCCTATGAGGGGCAGGGGAAGAGCCTGGTCAAGAGGCTTGTATTCAAGTCCCTGGGCTGCCTCGATTACCTGTGCCCTTAGGGTCATCCCTTCACCCCTCTGGGCTTTCCTCTTCTTGTCTCTAAAGTGGGAACGAGAAGACAATACAAACTTCATAAGACCCAGGGGGATCAAATAAGATAATGTACAGATAAGCTGAAAATATTTTTGACTAGTGGATGTGCATCTGTAAGAAGAAAACTACCTGTACCAGACACATCACGTCGCATCTCACAGATGGGTCCACACCTAGTGCCACCAGGATTCCTCCAGAGAACGATGGGCCAGGACCACCTCTATTTGTTCAGTCAGCAAACTTACTGCCCCAGGCCACGTTCTGGGCATTGAGACATAAGTGACTCAGTTCCCATCCCCGTCACCAACGGGCTCACATCTGGTGGGGGTGACGTGGGAACAGCAGTTTCAAGCCAAGGTGCCTCTCCCAGGACAGGAGATGACCAAGGGGCAGTAGGACCCCAGAGCAAGAGCCTCTGTCATTTCTCCCTCTCAAGCTTCAGGCAGGTAGAGGAGGTGGTACCCATGCCTGTACCACAGCCCCAGGGAAGAGCCCGGATCACCACTGGTGAGGTGCAGAGCCATGGAGCAGGGAGAGTCTCACGGACGTGGAAACTCTCCCCACTGTGATTCGCCCAAGTTCTCTCAGGAAGGTAACTGGAAGTAGAACCTAGAACCTGGCCTCCAGAAGACCAGGCCAGCAGCTCTCTGCAGAGCCTAAGTCCAGTTTTTAGAAAAGAGGGAATCGGGGGCCTGGATTCTTATCCCTGCTCTGCTGTGTGACCCTGGTCCCTCTCTGGCCCTCAGTCCATATGCACAGCAAGGGTGACACTTTTGACATTAGGGAAAAAACTCAGGCAGGCAGCCCCTGCATACTGAACACCTGAGTAGCAACTATTGAAAACCTGGAGAGAACCGGAAGCTCAGAGCGTTTTTTTTTTTTAATACATCTTTGTTGGAGTATAATTGCTCCACAATACCGTGTTAGTTTCTGTTGCACAACAAAGCGAATCAGCCATATGCATACACATGTCCCCATATCAGAGTGGTTTTAAGCACAGGGTTCTATCCCTGCCGCCTCTGCTGCCCAGGACTGCAAAGACTAGAGGTGCAGCCTTCCCAGCTGGCACCCCTCTGAGCTCTTCCCCTCCTTGGCCTTTGCCAACCCTTTTCCCCACACTTGCCTCATTCCCTGTAATGCCCAGCCTGTCTCTGGCCTTCCAGACTTGCTCCTCCAGGAAGCATTCCCTCCAGGTAAGTTAAGGTGTGCATGTGCTCCCTGAAGTGAGGCAGGCATGTGCTAGCAGATCTGCCCCATGAAGAAAGGAAGGCTTAAGGGGAGTAAAGGGGTCAGTCCCAGGAGTTGAGTCATATAATTTCCTGAGCTCCTTTTCTGCATTCTCTAAGCAGTCTGAATTCACTGCAGTCCTGTGAGGTACTTGCCCCAGATGATGTAGCTGGTTTAACAGCCTCCCAGGATTCAAGTTCACCTCCCTCCTGCGGCCCTGCATGTCCCTCAGTTCAAAGAACACTAACCACCCCCCCAGGCTCAGGCCTAGGCACCCAGGGCCAGAATGGAAAAAGAGAAGCAGGGAGGGATTTAGTTTAGACAGAAAGCTAGAATCACCTACCCGATGGAGGCAGTGGGTAATGCCCTGCAACTCTGCCTAATTGGGAGCCCAGATTCGCTGACATTTTGTTTAAAAAAAAAAAAGTATGACAAGAGTCACAGTCCTGCTGTGCCAGCTGTGATGATCTCGTATCACTCACCCTCTCTGAGCCTCAATTTTCTCATCTGTGAAAGAGACACCTATATCACAAGGTGGTTGGGAGGAACAAGATACTGGATAGAGGGCACAGGGCCTGACGCAGCTCAGTAACGGTGGCTACTGGAAGCTTTGGTCTTTCTGGCCGTGAATCCCAGGAGGCGGGAGAATGGCCTTGGCAGACCTAGGCAGCTGGTGACTCCTGGTGGCCGCTGGGAGCCAGGGCATGAGGGCCAGACCTTCAGCAGTCTTAGATTCAAAAGATCCTGGACTCCGAGTCTTTGACTGTTAGACTTGCTGAGTCCTCAAATAAGAGAATTTAGTCACTTATGAACATTCCCTGAGGCTTTCTCTGGCTGAGGCCTGATCCCAGGGAATACTTTGCTCCCATCCTGGCCTCTTCCAAGAGCTTCCTGACTGAGATGGAGGGAGGCAGACACAAATGGGGGTGGGGGTGGGGCACAGAGATGGAGGAGGCTCCTAGCCAGCCTGGCAGGTCAGGAGAGGCTCAGGGATCCTGAAGGACAAATTTGAATTAGGAGTTGGGAGGGAAGAACATTCTGGGCAGAGAGAAAATCACACGCAAGACACATTCAGAGTAGCAACAAAGTGAAGATGCAGCTGAGGCCAGCAGGCCACATCCTGAGGGTAAGGAGTTTCTCTGCAGGCAGTGCAGAACTTCAAAGGGTTGGACGTATGACCACACCACCTTAGAAAGTCACTCTGGCCATGGCAAGGAGGGAACTAGGTGGAGACAGCAGGTCGAGGACAAGGTGGCCTGCAGTGGCAGCAGGAATGGAAAGGAGAGTTAGACGCAACAGCCCCACGCCTTGGTGCCCAAGAGGTGGGGTGTGAGGGGAAGAGGCGCTTATGACAGGGATAGATGATGCCTAGGAGGCAGCTGGGTATGTCACCATAGCTCAGGGGACAGCTGGGCCGAGGGCAGTGAGTGAGCTGGGATCAGCAGAGTGTAGATTTGGGTAGTTAGCCAACACTTAAACAGCCTTGTCATGTGCCAGGAACTTTACAAATACGGATGCATCGAGTCCTTCCAACAGTCGTTGAGGTAGATACCACTATTTTCCCATTTTACACAGGAGGAAACTATGGCACAAAGACATTAAGTAACTTGCTCAAAATCATTCTGCTACTAAATAGTAGAGCAGAGATTCAAACCCAGACAGTCTGGCTGCAGAGTCCTGGCTCTTAGCTCTCTCCTGCCCGTCCTGGAAATAGTCTGCAAAACGCTGGGACTCAGGAGAGACACTGTAAGGTAATAAAGGAGGCTGAGAGTTCTAGAGTAAAGCCTTGAATCTCAACTGCGTGGACCCCCAGAGGTCAGCCCCTATCACTCAGGGACAGAAGTCCCCTTCAACACCTGGTGACTGGCAATGGCCGTCCCACTGACCCTTCTCCACGCCCCAGGTTGGGGAAGGAAATGGGAGTGCCCAGGTTCCACCCTATTGGGTCTGCCATGTACTCCAGATGCTTGTTGTGTGGCTTAAATCTGATGCTGATGTAAGCGAGGCCCAGGCCCAGCCCACGGATGTCCTCCCCGCCACACAAGGGGTCTGCCTCTGGGGCAAGAATGCGGCCCCAGTCTAAAGGCAGGCCTGTTGTACCGAGTACTTGACATCACTCTGGTTTTTCAGGATCCTTTCCACAGGGCCCCTCTCGGCTGTCTCCCCTGCTCCCTCCTCAGAATTCACACGGCCCCTCCTCAGCCTCGGTCTACCCTGGGTGCCTGAAACAGAAGGGCCCAAGGACCAGGACCAGCTTAGACCGAGGATGAAATTTCCACTGCTCCAAAAGCCACTGTCCTTTGCTGCCTCTGGGCCTTTCTTCATGCTGTCAGTACAGAAGGCGGGCCAGCTCTGCCCAGCTCTGTGCGGGGGGGAGGAAAGGGAGCCCAGCCTGGGTCTCCCTGAGCCTCCACCCAAAGGCTTCCCTGTTCCCTGAATGCTGCAAAGAGGCAAGCAGACGCCAGTTTAAATGTAATTTTTTTCCACTTTTGCCAGAGATAAAAAACAAAACAATACAGTAATCCCCCCCAACCCACACTTTGTTTTTAAACAAACAGGCCAGGTCCTGCCAGGCCTTCTTACCCACTAAATGCCACCCCCATCCCTGCACCCCTACTGGCCCTGGAGCCTCTGGGGCAGTGGGAAGCTGTCCTCCAGCTTCAGGCTTTGGACTAGAGCTCCAGCTCAGGCAGGGGAGTCGTGGCACTAGTGCCAGAGCACAACCTTCCTGGCTTGGTCCACGCTCACCACGTGGCTCCCAGAGTAGCACCAGGCCACGGCATTGACGGCAGCGCTGAGGAGAGGGAGAGGCAGGCTTCAGGGGGCGTCCACTGCTGGGCTCTGCCCCTCATTACTGGACCTGGGCATTTTGAAGCCCTCTCCAAGCCCATCTCCTCACCTGTAAAATGGGCTCAGAGTGCTGTGGTGAGAGCAGACCCAAGTGCACATGGGAAGACACCTTGTGAACTATGAAGGGCTCAGGTGGGGGGGCAGGGAATGGAAGGTACGGGACAAGGGCTGGGGGTTCCAGGATGCCCAGCATGTCAGGACCTGGAATCAGCTTAGCAGGACTGGGGCAGGGCCGGGGGTGGGGTACTGGGGCTGGGGTGGGCAGGTGGGTGGGCAGTGGCCGTGCTCACCAATGGGGTCCCCGAAGGCTACTCTCCAGTTTCCCAGTGTCTACATCCCAGATGTAAAGAGCTCCATCCCAGGAACCTGCCAGTGCGTAGCTTCTGTCTGGGCTGCAGGGGCCACAGCACAGCCAGAGAGAGGAGATTAGAGGTAAGGACACAGACACAGACAGATGGGACACACTCAGGCATGGGTGCTGTGCTCTCATGGACACACCTGAACACAGCTTTGGTCCAGTCAGAACCGCACCTGAAGCCATCAGCCCTGAGAACAGACAGGGTCGGGTCAGAATGGAGGTGGCTCAGCCAGGAACTTACGGAGCTTCCTCTCTCCGGCAAGGGCTCGGCCACCTCACCAGGCCCTGATCCAGAGGGGCCTCCAGGGAGGGCCCCCCGCTGACGGGCCTTTTACAGGGGACAAGGCCCAGCTGCCACAGCCAAAGCCACAGGATCAGTGGGCACAAAGCAGGTACCTGAACACCTGGCGGACGTTGCTGACACGCAGGTCGATGACCTTGAGCGTGTCGTCTCGGGAACAGCTGAGCAGATGCAGCTGGTCGTGGCTGAGGCTCAGGGAGGTGACCCGGCCCTGCACAGGGATGACCTGGGTGCAGTGGGGTCCCCTGAGGAGCAGGGACAAAGGCGAGGATGAGCAGCAGCCACCCTGACGAGGTGCTCCTGACAGACTAACGAAGTCCAGAGGCCCCCCTGGTCTCAGGCCACTAAGGCCAAGGCTGACGACTAACCTCCCCCTGCAGCCAGCCCCTTCCATCAGGAACTTACTAAACCCTTGGGTCACTAAAATAAGTGCTGGGGGTGGGGGCGGGGAAGCAATGCAAGTCTGTCTTTAAATATGTGCAAGAGAGTGCAAGGGGTTTCAAAAGGCAAATCTCTGCAGATGCGTAAGAAGAAGCCTGCGGCAGGCCTGGCACTGGCTCTGGCACTGGTTCCAGCACTGGCTTTTATAAACCATTCAAGCCTAATGCTGGGCTCTTAGGCTCAGAAAACAATATAACTTTTGTTCCTTTTGACTAAAAAGTGGTGATTATATGGAAAAATAGAGATTCTCCATCTTGGTTGGCAAGACCCAGGCAGGGTCCCTTGGTTGGACCAAGGGCCAATAAGAAGGAGACAGGTCTCCAAGGGCAGCTGAGCCTTCAAGGGGCCGAGCCCAGCAGAGGCCACCAGAGCCTCGCTTCCCCAAGGTACCCTCAGCAGCTCCATGGCTAGAAAAAGGAAGAGAATACAGGAGCCCTGCCCCCACCTCCACCACCCACAGCCCGCGCCTATCACCTGCTGTCCCAGAACCGGATCTTCTGGTCATTGTGACCACTAATGATGACATGGTCCCCACACACCACATCGTTACAGTAGGAAAGGACATTGATGGTCCTGGAACCTAGGGACCAAGGAGTAGAGCCCCAGCCTCAGAGAAGGGTTATCAGGAGCCAACCCACTGGATGTATGGAGAAGCTGAGGCCCAGAAGCCCCAGAGGTAAGGTGTCCTCCCAAAACTATAACCCAGGTCCCCTGTTTCCCAGCCCAAAGCCTGAGGTCACCTAGAAACCAGGGAAAGCATCATCGATGGGGGGACAGAAGAGGGGCCTTGGGAGGTTTCATCCCAAATGCCTGTAAATCTTGAAGCCACTCCCAGAGAGCAGGCTGAGGTCCCCCATAGCCTGGCAGGGTCCTGGCCCTTGGGAAAGGGGAGGGTTGGGCCTCACAGTAGGCTCGGCCGAGGTCCCACTCCTTCACTGTCCGGTCCCGGCTCCCGGTCACCGCCTGATGCATCGTTAGCTTGAATTTGGCAGCCGTCACCTTGTCTGTGTGTCCAGATAGTGTCTCCTGCCACCATCCCAGATATGCATCAAGGGTATGGCCAAGACCCCATAACAAACCCCTCCAGGCCCAAGGCATGACCCCTGACCCCCAGGCTGCCTCCCCAGTCAGGCCTTACCTTGGACTGTGCCTCCCCAACCTTCCAAAGCTGGGCGGCCTTATTGTAAGTAGCTGCCAGTACCTGGGAGCCCTGGGGAGACAGGAGGGGAAAGGATAGGTCCTGAACCTGGGCCTGGCCAGAGGCAACTGCAGGCCAGAGAGCTAGGGTCAGGGCTGCCTCAGAGCTTCCCCTAGCCCAGGTCACCCAGGTAGGCAGGGGAGAATCGAGGCCCAGGGAGGAGGATTGTGTAGGAGCTCTAGGATACCCGTGATGTTCCCTCAGGCCCCAAAGCCCCCACCTGCCCAGTGTGGAAACTGGGGGAGGGACATCCTATGCCCCCCAGGTCCTCTCACCGAGGGGTCAAAGTCCACACTGGTGATGCTGCCGCCAGCTCCTTCAAGGGTCTGGTTGGCCTCCAGGCGCCCTGCGGGGACCAGGAGAAGGGACAAGTGAAGTGAAGTCACTAATCTCACGAAACAGAGGAGCCTGGACTGTGAGTGGGAAGATGAATCTCTCCTAAATTAGAGGACAGAAGTGCTGGGCCTGTTCTTGGGGGAGCGGCCAGGGTTGGGGGGTGGGGGGTGGGGTCTAGCTGGAGGCTGCACCTTCCTGAACTGCCAGCAGAGGGCCCCGGGGGGCTGCAGGTCATCTCGCGGATGTCTGGAAAAGACCAGAGAGAAGGGACTGTCCCTAGGTCACACGGCAAGCCAGAGCCAGGCCAGCTGGAGACTCACCTCCTCCAGGAAGCCTCTGGGAGCCAGCTCTCGCTCCCCAGTACACCCCCCGCTACAGAACACAGAGTAGATAGCTAACATCTGCCCCACGACTGAGTTCTGAGGGCTCAGTGGCACTAGAAGAGGTGGCCTGGTGGGGGGGCCCAAGGGACCTGCTCCTCAAGGGCCTGTCCCTGTAGAACCTCGTGACATGGTGCCTCCACCACCCCAACAGGGACCATCTGAGCTCAGCCCTCCCCACCCCGCAGGCCTCGACTTCAGGAAGTGGGAGGCTCTGCCCTTCTTAGGAGCAGTGAGCCCAGAACTCTTGCCGCTGCCCACAAGAATGTCCCAGGTGAGGAAACGCAAAGACTCAAGACCCTTCCCACCAAGGAGCAAGCTGAAGGTGAGGCTGGCCTGTGGGCAGGGACCCTCACCTCCCACGACATTCCAGAGGAGGATGAGGCGGTCAGCCCCTCCAGTGGCCAGGAGGCTGCTACTGGGGCCAAAACGAACAGCATTGACCTCGGAGAGGTGGGCATCCTGTGGGGAAAAGGGGAGGTCGGTGCCCCTGGTCCTCGCCACACACACCTCTTTGCTCACGCTCACAGCTCTCTGTCACGCATTCTTGCACACATCAGGTCTCTGTTCGAACACTGAGTTTCAAACTCAGCCCCACCAGGGCTCATCACCTTTGACTGGACCCCTGCAGCAGCCTCCCGCCATGTTCCCAATACTCCACTACCTGGCCTCCTGGTCTCCCGGCCTCCTGTCTCTCCCTCATTATAAAATGCCGAAGGGCTCCCACCACAAGCTGTGGGAGGAAAACTCCTGCTCCCAGTGAGGGGCCCATCCTTGCTTCCCCAGCCTCCTTGGACCACTCCTGGGACCTGCACTCCCATATCGTACCCCATGCACTTGGCCCAGCTCCTCCTTACCAGCACATCCTGAGCTCGGGTAGGAAGTCGGGCGGCCACGCACACAGGGATGCTCTGGTATCGCTGCTCAGGGGCTCCCCCAACTGAGTGGCCTCTCCTCTTCTTGAAACTGCAGGAGGGGGTCAGGAGGGCATTCAGCAAGGCCTCTGACACGGGAGCCTCGAGCTCTCCTGAAGCAGCAACAACAGGAAGCAGACACGGAAGGCAGCAGAACATGGCCAGGAGGTGCAGCAGGCACGGTCCCCACCAGCCTCTGACCCAGGAGTCAATGTGGAGACAGTAGGGGCACCAAGACAGGCGCAGAGGCAGGGCAGGGTTGTTGGTGGATGCAGAGAAACCTCGGAGCAGGGTTTCAGTCCTGGCCTGGCCACTGCTTGGCACTGTGACCCTGAACAAATCCCTGACATTTCTGAACCTCCATTTCCCAAATGAGTAGTAGCTCCTTTCTGGCCTCAGGCTGGAGCTTTTGGTCCCCTGTGACGACCCAGGATGAGGGCCAGAGCCTGGAAGATAGCCAGGCAGGGGCTGGGAATGAGGCCATGCACCCAGCTCCTGCCTCTGGGACTCAGCAGAGACTCACACACAGAGTGCTGGGCAACGTACGGAAGGACACACTGAGACACATACACAGCCCAAGCCTGGGCTCCAGGAGCCTGACACACGCATCCAAGGGGCCCAGCACCTTCACACACATGTTGGTGCACACACACACTTACTCCAGAAGCCCCTTCACCACATCCACACAGCGGGACAACGTCAGGGAGGTGGCGGAGGCAGACCTGGGGCAGAATCGAGAGAGATGTGCTAAGGGACTGGCCGGTGGCTGTGCAGACAGCAGTCATTCATCCCTACACTCTTGAGCCTGGACAAGAACTTTGCTCCTCCAAGGCCAGGAGAGCATGATGACCCAGAGGAGTCCCAGGAAGATGGAGGAAGGGAGGGATTTGGAATGAAGTCTCCCAGTTTCACCATGATGGTTAAGACCTGCCTCACCACCCAAGTGCCCCCCAACAAAATTTCATGGGAGGCTGAGCTGGGGCCTATGGAAGGGGGTGAAGGTGCCCCCAGGCTGAGAAAGCACAAGGCTGGGAGCAGGGGCTGGGAAACCTAGATCCCAAAAATACCCAGGAGATCATGTGTCCTGAGATGACCTGGCCCGCCAGGGCTAAGGCTTTGGGGACTGCATCTCATGCCCCTCCCCAGGGTTCCTTCACTACCCTGAGGCCTGGACACCAGCAACCTGCAAGAGAAGGCTGCAGGGGCTTCCCTGGTGGTGCAGTGGTTAAGAATCCACCTGCCAATGCAGGGGACACGGGTTCAAGCCCTGGTCTGGGAAGATCCCACATGCCTCAGAGCAACTAAGCCCGTGTGCCACAACTACCGAGCCTGCGCTCTAGAGCTCGTGAGCCACAACTACTGAGCCTGCGTGCCACAACTACTGAAGCCCACGCGCCTGGAGCCTGTGCTCCGCAACAAGAGAAGCCACCGCAATGAGAAGCCCACGCACCGCAACGAAGAGTAGCCCCCACTCGCCGCAACTAGAGAAAACCCGCGCGCAGCAACGAAGACCCCCAATGCAGCCAAAAATAAATATTTTAAAAATTAAAAAAAATGAAAGGACTGGAGGAGAGCTTACAGGCTGGGGAATGCGGGGAGGGCAGTCTCAATGCCAGGCAAATCAAGACAGACGGGGCAGACTGGGGGTGAGGGGCATCCAAGGACTGAAGCCTCAATCAGGTCCCACCCATATGAGCTCCCATCTACACATGCTTCACAGGCATTCAGGTACGCTTACCTAAGCTTGTACACACATATGCTCTGACGTCCCTGTGTATGCACACACATGCCTGCGACAGCTGAACCCTGGACCTTGCCAACAGGTTCCCTCCTGGTCACACCCTTTCACCAGCCTGACATCCCACCCCCAGAGCTCTGGTCCTGGGAAGGAGAAAAAGGGGTTGAGGACAGAGGTTGGGGTCCCGGAGGTGGCACTGACCCTAAGTGGCTCCAGGCACTGGAGGTCAGATCTGTCCTGGGGTCCAAGCTGTACCCCAGTCTCTTCTCAAGCCCCCTCTCAACCCAAGAGCTGGCCCAAGGTCCTAGAGGAAGACTCTGGGATGGGACCCAGCTCAGAGCTGTGGGACAGTGCTCACCTGAAGGGCCTCTTCCATTTCTCACCAGCCTCACTCTCCAGGAACGCTGGCTCAGCTGCCAGAGCCAGAGTGTCTGCTTCCTCTCTGATCCCATCGCCTAATGTGTCTGGGCTCCTGGGGGAGAGAATTAAGCTCAGAATGGCTAAGGGACCAGGCCAGCCCCTCCGCACCACGGTGAGGATGTGCAGACCCAGAGATGAGGGTGTCCCTGTGGACGCACGTGTGGCAGGCACAGGTGCTGGCTCCTACGACCACACGTGTCTGCACGTGTCCTGGGCTCGTTCTGCCTGGGGGCCTCGGCACCGCGGCTGTGCACACTTGCAGTAAGGTGCACCGGCGGCCGCAGGCAGGTGAGGGCGGGGTAGAACTGTAGCGGCCACGGGGCAGAGCCCGCGGCAGAGCCTCGGCAGGCAGGTCTCAGGCGCATCCTCATTCTTACTCGCTTATGCTCACTGTCCGCTTGGCTGCCTTCTTCAGCTCCTGGGACACCCGCGCCTGTTTGGCCCTGGGACAGAAAAACCTCCCGAGAGTCGGGTCGCTCCCGTGCCCGGAAGGCGGGGCCGGCCCCTCCCCGGCAGGCCAAGCCACCACTCACGTCCCCGAAGGGCGGGCCCAGCGCTCTCACCTCTCGCGGCGCTCGTTGCGCAGGTTGCGCTCGGCTGCGGCGCGCGCCTTGCGCCGCACCAGCCGATCCAGCAGGTCGCGTGCCTCCTCCTCGAGCCTGCGCAGAGCCGCCTCCTGGTGCCCGACGTGCACGCGCAGCGCCTCATAGGCCGCCCGCTGTGCCACGTTCAGCGCGCGCCGCGCATCCACCTGTCCCTCCTCCTTCTCCCGCGCCTCCTGCAGCTGCGCCACGCGGGCCTCCAGAGCTGCCAGCCTGGAGAACGCGGAGAACCTCCATCACCGCCCTGGGGAACCAGTCTTGGAGCTGGGACAAACTTGCCCCTGGCCACGCGGCCAGCCGGCCGGCTAAGCCACGTCTCCGACCAAGCCTTCGCAGTCCTGCAGTTCCTGGCCTCTGCGACCAGCCACAGGCCTGGGGGACGTTTGAGGACGTGGGAAAGCTGTCGGGCCCTTCCGGAGACCCGCGGGGTGACCCTGTCCCCTCCCCCTGGCAGTGATGGCCCCAAGCCTCCCCAAGGTGCGCGGGGGGGGGACCCCTCTCGCACCCCCCGCGCCTCACCTGCTTTGCCGCTCCCCCAGCTGTGACTCCAGGGTGCCCAGGGCTGCGCTCTTCTCCACCACCTGGTAGGCCATCTGCAGCGGCGGAGGGGCCGGACAGGTAGGCATGGGTGCCTCTGGGCAGGGCCTCCAGCCCCTCTCTGGCCGAGAGGCTAGTAGGACGGGGTCTGCCTCTCCTCTCACCCGCCCCCTAGCTCAAGAGAAAGCTGAGGCGCAGACAGGCGTTGCACCAAGCACAGGAATGCACTGCTGTTTCAGGGATCAACGGAAGGGCCTTAGGCTCTGAAGCCTAACACCCGAGTTTCAATTCTGGCAGTGCCACTTATATTCTCTGTGACCCGGGGTAGTCATTTAACTGCTCTAAACCAGCTCTGTTTCTTCACCTGTCCAGTGGGAATGGTTGTGCTTACCTCACTGGGTAACACGGAATTACTATAAGGAACAGTATCTCAAATAATGATGATTGGTTCTATAGCACTTAAGTGTGCTAGGTCTTATTCCGAGCACTCTACAGTATTAACTCTTTTAATCCGGTAGGAACTGCCATTCTCCCCCATTTTACACGAGGACATTGACACAGAGAGGTTCAGTGTCTTGCCCAAAGTCACACAGCAGAACTGAGATCTGAACCCAGGCCACCTAACATGCTCCAAGTAAAGCGCTGGGGTATAGGAAGGGTTCAAGGGATGTGTGTTCTTTTCCCCACCTCTCCAAGCCCTGGCCTACCCAAGCGTAGATCCCAGAGAGCAAGAAGGAGCTCTGAGCAGAGGCACACAGGCTAACAGGAATGGACTGTGGGAGCGCCAGGCCCAGACTGAATACCAGAGCTGCCCCCAGCCCCAGAGTGGGGGTGAGCGTCATCTCATCTGTCCCCCGCCCCACTGAACAGTCCTTCATCCGAGAGCCAAGAGCTGGGGAAACCACAGAACTGAGGGGTCAGTGGGTCCGGGGCATGAACCCATATCCCCTGCATCGGCAGGCAGACTCTCAACCACTGCGCCACCAGGGAAGCCCTGGAGATCATTTTTATTATTAAAATATATTACTCTGGGCTTCTGGGCTTCCCTGATGGCGCAGTGGATGCAGGGGATACGGGTTCGTGCCCCGGTCCGGGAGGATCCCACATGCCACGGAGCAGCTGGGCCCGTGAGCCATGGCCGCTGAGCCTGCGCGTCTGGAGCCTGTGCTCCACAACGGGAGAGGCCACAACAGTGAGAGGCCTGCATACAGCCAAAAAAAAAAAAAAAAAATCACTCTGAGTACAGAATGGAGAATGGATGGGGGTGCCAAAAGAGGAGTGGTCCAGCAAGGAATGAGAGTAACTTGGACCAGGCAGACAGGGCACAAAAAATGGAAGTTGATGGATTTGGAGGCAGGATCCATGAGCTGGTGACTAGCTCAGGATGGAAGGCTGCTAGGGGTTAGAGGTGTCCCTGGGTTTCCAGCCTGGTGACTACCAGTGGAGGGGGGGATGATCTATCTCATTTATCACCTAGTCTACAAATATTCATTAGCATGGACTGTGGAGACAGGCCCCAGGGATACAATGGAGGCAAACCAAAGGCATCCCAGTTCTCGGGGTTCTCACAGCCCAGAAGGGGGCTCAGATTTTGAGAATCACCTCTCAAATGTAGAGTTGCAACTACAACAGGGGCTCTGAGGGAGAGGCTACCACTAGGTTCATAGCCCCAAATACACATTAGTTGAGCAAGGGACTTGGCATGTGGTAACTAGGTAGGTGCTTACTGGCCCCTCAGCCTCCTCCAGTGGACTGGAAGCTCCATGGGGCCAGGTCCTGTTTACTGCTGCATTGCCTATGCCTTGGATATAGTGACTGTCAATAAATATTTGTTGAAAAAATGAATGGAGATCACAGAAAGGGGATTTGTGCGGGAGAGAGTTCAAATCCTGGCTCCAGCTCTCTAAGCTTTCGTTTCCTTTGAAATACAAAGTTGCGGAGGATTAGCTGAAGTAACGCTTAGCCCAGCGTTCTCAACGTGGTGTTGGCCATATAATCACAGGGGCGATGGTTAGTCTGATTTTAGGCGTGAAGTCCAAAAAGCAGCTGAGCAAGAGAGTCTGGAGCTCATAAGAGAAGGCTGAGCTAGAGATGGGTCTGGGAGTTAGCAAACAGAAAGTCCTTGGGAGTCAGTTAACCCACCCAAGCTCCAAAGAACACCCACATCTGAAGGGAGGGGGTTAAAAAGGAGGGAAAGTAGCCAGGGAAGGAAGTTCAGAAGCAACAGCTACATAAGTGAGAGGAAAACCAGGAGAGTGTGGTGAACCAGAAGCCAAGAGACACCATGGGGCAGGGGCGGGGGGAAGCAGTGGCAGGTGGAGCTAGCACACCCTGCCATGGAGATGGACCACCTTACTTTTGGTCTGTAAATGTGTATTGAGTGTCAGCTGGTACTGGGCCCTGAGGTTTGCAGGGCAAGTGGTGAGCAGAGCAGGCTGGACCATCCAGAAGGGGGAACAGAGGCTGCCTGTTTCCTGCACCCCTCACACACCCCTCCCTGAGCTCTCACTGCACTTCCTCCAGCTGCTGTTGGAGCCCACTTCATCCTGGGCTGCCAGGGCCAAGCTAGAGAGCACTCTGACCCCTGTCTGAGCACTCTGACCCCTGTCTGACCCCTGGCCTCAAGGCACTGGACTTTGGAATCTCCCTCACTTGCTGGCTCCCTTGGATGACATGTCCCAGCCCCAGAGTCCTGGATCCTGGGCCCACCCCATTCTCTCAGCCCCCTGCCCAGCCTACCTCTCCACACACCAGCCGGAGCCCCTCCTCTTCCTCTTGCCACTTCACCCTCAGAGCTGCTGGTGATGGGACTCCGTCTGAGTCAGGCCCTGACTCCTCCTCCCTGTCAACCAATCAGAGAGCGGTGTTCATTGTCCCTCCATTCAGCCAGAGGATACACACGAACAGTCTGAAACCAGAGCCGTGAACTTTCTCCTGAGGAAGGTGGGAGCCAGAAAGTCAGTAGAGGAAAGAGCAAGTCTCCAGAAACTAGAGCTGCCCGGGAACCTCTGCTCTTGGATTCCCCCAGGCCTGGAGTTCCCCGGCCAGGACCCCCCTCAAGAAGCACCTCCCAACTCTGAGCCCCAACCCATTCCTGGTTCTCATCTTCGCTCCCTCTTTGGAATAGGTGGCATTGTGCCCTTTCTGTAGGCATCAGGTGGCAAACAGAAAAAGACAGAGGTGTGTGGGCGTGGGAGGACAAATGCAGAGAGAGGACATTCTGAGCAGCTGGCCCCTGGGGAAGGCTGGAGAGCCTGCCTCCCCCTCCCCTGGGCAGCAGCCAAGGGCCAATGAGGTGCCTGGGAGAGAATGAACCCCGCATAGCCAGTGGGGGCAGGGCCCAGGCACAGGAAGCCCATTGTGACCACAAATACAAACACTCACCAGCCGCCCTGGTGGAGAGCCCGAGTGACATCGGTGGGCTCTGGCTGCAGCTTCTCTGAGAACTGGGCCAGCAGCTCCGCTTTCTCTAGGAGACGGTTATCTGTGGGTGCAAAAAGGTGAGCCTGGAGCACAGACAGACTCTTTCCAGGAGACTCTAGGCATACAAGTTACCTCTCTGGCTGGGAGGGCTGCAGGAGCCGAGGGATGCAGAATGGGGAGCTACTGGCAGGCTGGGCTCTGCCCTTGCCTGAGGGGTGTCTGTGCAGCTCCATCAGGACCTCCAGCCCTTGCACACCCTCTAAGAGCATAGCCCCCAGGCCCTCCCAGGAGAAGACTTGCTCTCCCAGGGACACAGAAGGACGACCACTGCAGGGGAAGGAGATGGCTGGGTACTGCCTGCTGAGGTTCTCAAGGGAAGGAAGGGGCCAAGGGTTGATACCCAGGGCGGGGCCTGTCCCCAGAGAGCGATGAAACAAACTGAGCTCCACTAGCCTGTGGTCTTTGGCAAGATACTTCCCTTCCAGGGGCTCTTTCTGGGCTAAAAAACAACCCTGACTTCCCCAGTGTTGGTGTAAGGCTCCCCCAAGGCCAGAACAGAAAGTCCTTGAGTTTGGTAGTTTCTGCTACAGACCCTGGAATACAGCCTCTCCACCCCCACCCATGGTCACTTCCTCTTTTCTCACCAGGCCCAGGTAGGGTAGAGATGGTAAGCCCAGGCCTAACTCCTCAGCTCCTTTCCCTATTCCTGTCCGCTACGTCACCTAGGTCACCTAGGTCAATCACCTAGGTTGCTGGCCTTGTTCTCACACAAAACCCCACCCCAACCCTCAGGGAATTGCTCTGCCCCACCCTCACCCCCAGCAAATCTAAAGAAGATGCCATTTTGTCCAGTTTATGAGTGAGAAATAGGAGGCTTAGGGGTATGACCTGCCCAAGACCACAGAGAAGACTGGACTTCCAGTGTCTCTGAGTTCAGCCTTCCAGGATCACTCCAGTCCCACAGATTTGCAGCTCCCAGGGGATGGGGGTGACTCCCTCAAATTGGACTGTTCCATTGTCCATCAGAGCAGTGGAGAAGTGAGGCTGCCTAGAGGCAGGGGGCTGGCCTCATATACCTGAACGGAGAGGACCTGCAGCCCAGAAGGCTGCAAAGAAATCTCCCAGGACAAGAGCAACAAATTCAGTTGTGGGGCTGGGGGGAGATGGTTAAGCAGCAGCCAAAATTAGGACCAGTGATGGAGCTGGAGGGACTGTGATTAGACTTTTAACCCCCAAACATACAATCTCAGATGACCAGAGGTGCTACACACAGGTGCACACCTGTTCATCCTGGCTTGAACTGCCATACCCCTTCCTCACCAGCTCCGCAGAAACACTATGAGAATCTGACTTCCCCAGGCTCAGCCACCTCCCTCCGCAGCCTGAATCCCCCTGCTTCTCCTTCAGGCTGGGGTTGGTTGGGCACAGAGATGCTCCAAAAACCTGAGCCAGGATCACCTATCAGTGGCAGAGCCTCAGACTCTGAACTGCCTCCCTAGAGATTCAGAGTTTAAAAGTAGCTGCTCTGGACAGCCCCGAGATCTTTCACTGTGCTTATGAGGACCAAATGGACTGACCAGGCTCTACCCCGGGGACGGCCCAAGAAGGGTAAGTCTAAAAGACCCTAAAAATCCAACATTCGCTTATGAAGCCGTGCACAGGAAGCCCAGCCGGTGGAAGGCAGAGCGAGGCCCAGAGGGGCGAGCAATAGCAGGGGCACTAGGAGGGAGCTCCGTCCCGGAGGGGGCTCTGAGCAGAGCCTGGACGGGAAAGGGCAGGAACGCTGGCTAGTCGGAGATAGCGCGTAAGAGACAGCGAGTCCAGCAAGCCCCAGGCTTCGGAGGCGAAAAGGCGTCGGGGCACTTGGGTCACAGACGGAGGGGCCAGACAAATGCTTCCCCGCGCCGGAGCCCTATCCCCTCGACGGCCCCGGGACGCACTGCACTCACAGGCCGGCACCAGCTCCAGGAAGAGGGCCTTTTGCGTTCGGTCTCGCTGTCGAAGCTGCCGCACGATGTGGCGTTTCCAGCGGGCGGCGGGGACGCCGGGGTCGCTGGGCCCCGCCATGGCCGCCCTCTCCCGCCAGCACCGCGCGCTCCCCCCGCCCAAGGAGGCGCGGCCGGGCAGGGGCGGGGCTCCAAGGGGACTCCTTGACGTCAGGGGGCGGGCAGCGGCGGGGAATCCCCGGATTGTACTAAGAGTGGTCTTGCGGGGGAGAACGGAATGAAAATGTGGGGGGGAACCGCCCCAGGCTTTAGACCACCCGGATCCCACAAAAACTCTCACATGAGTGGGGTCTCCTATCGCTGTCGGGGCAGAGACCGAGGAGCGAGGTCGGAGCCTCCGGGGCGGCTTCCCCCTCGCCTGTTGGCGCGCTCCGCAGGCGGGGCCTCCGGAGCCTGTATTCCTTAACCCCACCGCGCCCCGACTGAAGTCAACAGTAACAGACACTCTGGACCAGGCGGCTCTCTAAACCGGGCACCTGGAGACCCCCCCCCTCACACCCGGACCCTGCCCTCGAGGCCCTCAAGATCGGTAAGGGGAGGCGACACAGACACAAGGCAGACAATGTATGACAGCGAGATAAGAAAGCACGGAAGAGGAAGGGACTGAAGGGAGGAGGCCCTGCTTTGCGGATGTGATGGCACTGAGTTGGGTCGTAAGGGAGGCAATAGGCATTGGCCAGGAGGAGAGAGAAACGGATTCCAGGCAGCTGGAAGAACAAATGCAGAGGTTCGAGGGCATAAAAACTTCCAGCAGATTCGAGCCTGGAAGGACGGGAGGCAGAACTGCCCTTGTGGGGAGCAAGGTTTTAGGGTCCAGTTCGTCGCAGAAAATTTAGGACCTTGAGAGTGAAGGAGTGCAGCTGATTTCATCCAGCAAACCCCTGGCCTAGAGGGGAGAAAAGGCTTGCCTGAGATTGCACAGGAGTGGATGGCTGAGCTGGCCTGCAACCCAGTTATCAGCAGCCCTGACTCAGGGCTCAACCGATCACTCTATTTGGGCGGCCTCTGGAAGAGCAGCAGCATCTCTTACAGGTACACTTGACAGTGAATCGTGGGTTTGCAGGGAACTGTGACAAAACTGCCTCCAGCAAGACCCCTGTGCAGAGCTCTGCAGACAGGATGGTGTGAAGAATGAAAGGAGAGATTCGCTGGAGCCATACAAGCCATGGAGGTGACAGGTTTGTTGAAATGCAGATGGGGATGGGTCACAGGTCTTGGAAAGCTGTAAATGCCAGTGACATCGCAGGAGAGTGTACCCTGCTCTGCTCTGAAACCACAATGAGTTGAGCTCAGTACCCCCTGTGCCACTGTCTTTGACCCTCATTTCCTTTGCACATGCTATGTCTGCTGTTTGGAACATCTTTCCCTCTAGTGGGCCTGGCTCCTACTCATAGGTCACCTCCTCCAGAAAAACTTTGTTGCACCTGCACTGAGTTAAGCCTTCTCTGACCTCAGCCCCAGCCCAAGCCTAGCCTGTCTATTGAAGGAGTGGGTGGTGGGTGTTAACATTAACTAGAAGGTGTGCCCAGGAGAAGGGCATGGTACCCACTGGAGGCTCAGGGCCAGTTGACGACAGTGATAAATTCCCTTTAGGACTGACTGACTTGCAGGTGCCTGGGGACACCATCATAGGAGCTTAGGTTGTGCACATTGAAGGGTATGTTATTGCTGTGAGGCACAGAGGCGTTATTTCTCTCAGTTGGAGAGTCATATTGGGGTGAGGGTTTCCTAACCCTTTTCTGACTCACAAAACACTCCTAGGAAATTTAAAATAATTTTGTCATTTTTCGATAGTATATGATAAAGAAGTATTTGATTTTGGCTAAAAATATTTATTTTTTATCTTTAGAATATGAAAAGTTGGGATTTCCCTGGTAGCGCAGTGGTTAGGAATCCGCCTGCCAATGCAGGGGACACAGGTTCGAGCCCTGGTCCGGGAAGATCCCATGTGCCGTGGAGCAACTAAGCCCATGCGCCACGGAGCAACTAAGCCCATGTGCCATGGAGCAACTAAGCCCATGCGCCACAACTACTGAGCCTGTGCTCTGGAGCCCGCGAGCCACAACTGCTGAGCCCATGCACCACAACTACTGAAACCGACGCGCCTAGAGCCTGTGCTCCGCAACAAGAGAAGCCGCCACAATGAGAAGCCCCCGCAGCCCAACGAAGAGTAGCCCCCGCTCACCGCAACTAGAGAAAGCCCACGTGCAGCAATGAAGACCCAACGCAGCCAAATAAATAAATTTATAAAAGAAAAAATATGAAAAGTTGTATTATAAAATTCGCTTTTTAAAATTGTAGGTAATATTCATAATATATGAAGGCAAATTTCTTTTTTTTTTATTTATTTTTTAATTTTTGGCTGCCTTGGGTCTTCATTGCTGCATGCAGGCTTTCTCTAGTTGCGGCGAGCATTGCGGTGGCTTCTCTTGTTGTAGAGCACAGGCTCCAGGATCGCGGGCTTCAGTAGTTGCAGCACATGGGCTCAGTAGTTGTGGCTTGTGGGCTCCAGAGCGCAGGCTCAGTTGCTCCACGGCATGTGGGTCTTCCCAGACTAGGGCTCGAACCCGTGTCCCCTGTACTAGCAGGCGGATTCTTAACCACTGAGCCACGAGGGAAGCCCTAAAGACCTACTGTTTTTTAGAATGTAGTTTGAAACTTGCACCTGGGTTAGGCATCTCCCAGCAGGCAAAGTGATTATTTAAAAGCCTAAATCAGTTCTTGTTACTCTACTTAAAACCCTTCTAAGGCTTTTCAGCATATTCAAAGCAAATCCCTAAACCTTTTCTGTGGCCTTCAAGGCCCTGCTTGGTCTGGCTCCTGCTCACATGTCTGACCTTACCTCTTTCTACTCTTTGATAAAACCTTATTCACAGCACTGAAATCACTGCCAAACTCAGTCCTGCTGTGGAACCTTTGCCCTGGCTATTTCCTATTCCTGGTGCTCTTCCTCCTGAACTTCTAGGGACTGACTCCTGCCCACAAGTCAGATTTCAGAAGGCCTTCCCTGTTCACCCAATCTGAAATAGCTCCCATCCCAATTAATGTCTACAAATCATCCAGTTGTTGTTCCTTTCGGAGCACTTATCACTCTCAGAAAGGATCATGTTTCTGTGTTTGTTTTGTTGTGTATGGCCTATCTCTCCGATCAGGCTGGAAGCTTCAGCAGAGCCAGGACCAAGTCAGCCTTGATCCCAGCTCTGTCTTCAAACACCTAGAACAGGGCCTGGCATCAACTGACTAGGCGATCAGTAAATATTTACTGCTGTTGCTGTTATCAAAAATATACAAAAACAGGGAGTTCCCTGGTGACACAGTGGTTAAGAATCCACGTGCCAATGCAGGGGACACGGGTTTGAGCCCTGGTCTGGGAAGATCCCACATGCCGCGGAGCAGCTAAGCCCATGCGCCACAACAACTGAGCCTGCGCTCTAGAGCCCGCGAGCCACAACTACTGAAGCCCGCGTGCCTAGAGCCCATACTCTGCAGCAAGACAAGCCACCTCAATGAGAAGCCCGCACACTGCAATGAAGACCCAATGCAACCAAAAATAAAATTAAAAAAAAAATATATATATATATACACACACACACACACACACAAAAACAGCTCTCATGACTCAGTACTTAGAAGTTTTGAATTCAAAATTGTAACCATTTTTAACTGAAAAATAAATCACATGCCCGTAGCCAAAAATTCAAATAGTATAAGAGTGAGCCTCTTCACTTCACACCTTCATATTGGTTAGCATAGGACAGACTATTCAGTGGTCTTTTGGTTATCTATTACTTAATACAACTATTTCTTAATAGCTCTCATGATTCTGAGTGTTGCCTGAGCTCAGATGATTCTTGCTTTGAGTCTCTTACATGGTCGTAGTCACAACCAGGACTGGAATCATATGAAGACTCAGCCGGGTTGGTCGCTAATAATGGCTCACTTATTTAGCCAGCAGGAGATGCTGGCTGTTGGCTGGAAGGTGGGTTCGAGCTGAAAACCTGAAAACGAAAGCCCTACATGTGGCCCCACCACATAACTTAGGTTTCTCAGAGCACGGTGGCTAGATTCTGAGAGGATGCATCCCAAAACAAGCATTCCAACAGACAGCAAGAAAGCTACTGGTCTCTTAAGCCTTGACCCCAGAAGCTTACACAGCATCACTTTCTCTGCATTCTACTGGCCGAAGCAGTCCCAGTCCAGGCCAGATTCAAGGACAGAGACCCCAGCTTTCAGTGAAAGGAGTGTCAAAGAATTTCTGGCCATCTTTAATCCACTATATGTGGTACCAAATAAACCTTCAAATCTCGGTGGCTTAAAACACAAAAATGTATGTCTCCCTCACATTCCAGTGTGGGGTAGACCATGTGGTGTACTATTCTCCTTCAACAGTGACTCAGATCCAAGCTGCTTCCTCCCAGCATCTCCATCATCTCAGAGTTCTTTGATCCCAACTGTTCGGATGGGAGAGAGGTTAGGGGTGGGGGTGGGGGGGGGGAACATTCACACTGATACTTAATTGCCTTGGACCTGAAGTGACACATTCTTCTGCCCACCTCCTCGTTGGTGAGATCACATCTACTAGGAAGGCTGGAAAATGTAGTCTCCCGTGTTCCCTGGAAGAGAAAAATCGGTGTGAACGCATCATTATTGCTGATACACACCAATGTCCCAGTCTCCTTCTCTAGAAGTATCACCATGAACAATTTAGTGTGTATCCTTTCAGAAATATTTATATATATACGAGACTATAAACACACATGTAGCATTTACACGCTGTTCCACATTTGCTTCTTTATGTAACTGTATTTTCAATGTCTTGCAGAACTTTCCATATCAGACTACATAGATCTACATCATTCCTTTTTTTTTTTTTTTTTTAGTTTCACATCATCTTTATTATTGCTTAAAAAAAATTAAACAATGACTATCAAAATCTTTTTTTACTTTCAGGAAATTTGAGGATTTTTTTTGAATTTTAGAATTTTATTTTTTTATACAACAGGTTCTTATTAGTTATATATTTTATACATATTAGTATATATATGTCAATCCCAATCTCCCAATTCATCACACCACCACCACCCCACCATGGCTTTCCCCCCGTGGTGTCCATACATTTGTTCTCTACATCTGTGCCTCTGTTTCTGCCCTGCAAACCGGTTCATCTGTACCATTTTTCTAGGTTCCATAATATATATACAATATTATAATAATATTATTATAATAATAATATACAATATTTGTTTTTCTCTTTCTGACTTACTTCACTCTGTATGACAGTCTCTAGATCCAACCACGTCTCTACAAATGACCCAATTTCATTCCTTTTTATGGCTGAGTAATATTCCATTGTATGTGTGTACCACATCTTCTTTATCCATTTGTCTGTCGATAGGCATTTAGGTTGCTTCCATGACCTGGCTATGTAAATAGTACTGCAGTGAACATTGGGGTGCATGTGTCTTTTTGAATTATGGTTTTCCCTGGGTATATGCCCAGTAGTGGGATTGCTAGGTCATATGGTAATTCTAGTTTTAGTTTTTTGTTTGTTTTGTTTTGTTTTGTTTTTGCGATACGCAGGCCTCTCACTGTTGTGGCCTCTCCCGTTGCAGAGCACAGGCTCCAGACGCACAGGCTCAGTGGCCATGGCTCATGGGCATAGCCACTCCATGGCACGTGGGATCTTCCCAGACTGGGGCACGAACCCGTGTCCCTTGCATCAGCAGGCGGACTCTCAACCACTGCGCCACCAGGGAAGCCCTGAATGGCTATAATTTTAAAAAAATTGTTTTAATAGAAAGTAATATGCATTGGCAAGGATGTTAAGAAATTGGATGAATTGGGAGATATGGATGGACATATATACACTATTGATACTATGTATAAAACAGATAACTAATGAGAACCTACTGTATAGCACAGGAAACTCTACTCAGTGTTCTGTGGTGACCTAAATGAGAAGGAAATCCAAAAAAGGGGATATATGTATACGTATAGCTGATTCACTTTGCTGTACAGTAGAAACTAACACAGCATTGTAAAGCAACTGTACCCAATAAAGTTAATTTTTTAAAAAAAAGAAAGAAAGAAATTGGAACAACCTTTGGGCATTGCTAGTGGGAATGTAAAATGGTACAGCTGCTGTGGAAAAGTTTGATGGTTTCTCAAAAGGTTAAACGTGTAAACTACCGTATGACCCAGCAATTCCACTGCTAGATTTACTGAAGGCAAGGACTCAAAGAGATAGTTGTATACCCATTTCATAGTAACATTATTCATAATAGACAAAAGGTGGAGACAATTGGTGTCCATCAACAGATGAATGGATAAACAAAATGTGGTTTATACCTACAATGGAATGTTATTCAGCCATAAAAAGGAATGAAGTTCTGATACACGCTACAACTTGTATGAACCTTGAAAACTTATACTACGTGAAATAAGTCAGATACCAAAGGACAAATATTTTATGATTCCACTTATATAAAATATATAGAATACTCAAATTCATGGAGACAATGTAGATTAGAGGTTACTGGGGCTGTGTAGAGGACATAGGTAGTTATTACATAATGTTTACAAAATTTGTTTGAGATGATGAAACAGTTTTGGAAATAGTGGTGATGGCTGTGCAACATTGTGAATGTAATTAATGCCACTGAATTACTGTACACTTAAAAATGGTTAAAGTGGTAATTTTTATGTTATATACACAAAGTAAAAAGAGAAAACAGAGAGAATAGTATACACAAAGTGAAAGGACACTATATACAAAGTAAAAAGACACTATACACAAAGTAAAAAGAGAAGCAGATAGAGAGATGGATGAGGAGAAAATACTTGCAACATGTATAACAAATTAGTAAAATCCAGAAGATATAAAGAACTTCCACAAGTCAACTAAAGAACAGAAAACCCAATATAAAAATGGGCAATGACTTTTATCAGAAGAAGAAAAACAAATGGTCCACAAAAAATAAAACTATGCAAAACTAGTGAAATGTAAGTTAAAGTATGACTGAGAGGTCAAGTTTCACTCATCAGATTGGTAAAAATTAAGAAATTTATTAATATTTAGAGGTGAGGGGAAATGGAACCATCATTCCTGCTGGTGGGAACGTAAACAGGGCTAACCTCTTGGGAAGGCACTTTGGTCATACTACACACACACACATTCAAACACACCCTTGGCCCCAGCAGTTGCACTCCAGTATATGACAGGATGAATGGTTACATATATGGTATATCCACAAGGTGGAATTCAATGCAATCCAAAGAAGAAGCTGGATCTGTGTGTCCTAACATTGGAAATATATGTCTGAAATACTTCATAATACTTTTTAGACTTCCCTGGAGGTCCAATGGTTAGGACTCCGTGCTTCCACCACAGGCAGCCCGGGTTTGATCCCTGGTCAGGGAACTAAGATCCTGCAAGTCTCGAGGCTCGCCCAAAAATAAAATAAAATAACAGTAATCATAATACTTTTTAAAATCCAACAGGTTTATTTTTTATTTCTAATGTTTATGTTTTGTTTCTAAATGATGAGATTAAATGTTCAGACTGCTGTTTGCAAGCAGTTTTCACAAATGATACCGGGGAGAGTGAGCTGGCTTTATTCTCGGAACATGAAAAGCCAAATGAAGTATGATCATCACGTCCACTTTTTTTTTCTTTTTTCTAGCTGTAGCTTTGCAGTCTTAGTGACATCTGGATGTGCCGTGTATACATTTTGATTGGATAAATGCAAGAATCTGGCAACAATCATCTTTAGCCAAATTTATAGGTTTATTTTTATGCTTCTCTTTAAATAGTTGTTTATGTCTATAACCAATGGACCACCAAAGATTATAAATTAAATAATATAGAACTAAAAATTAAACAGTCTAAAAGCATGAAATGGTCAAAATGCTTGGGGTTTGAGGGAAGTGAGTTCATCTGTAGCTAAAGGGGTCCTGGGACCCCCAACCTTCCCTACACACCACGTGCACGCACTGTTGACTATTGCATTAAAGTGAAAACAGTGTTTGGAATGGGATGAACTGAAACTACACCCACCAAGGAGAGAAACTTGTGATTTGGGCATCATTCAATATGGGCGAATGTGAACAATGCTTTGAAATGGGCAGGAAAGATGACCTCTTCTCATTTTCCAAAAAGGCAGGTCAAAGTTATATGAATAAGAGGAATAGAAACTTCTTTGGTAGATGAGATGTAGCAGAGGTGGGGTGGAATAAAGTGGCAAGAGGGTCCTTCACAAGGAACTTAAATCCTCAAGATGTTGAAGTATATTTGGTTTTAGCCGTGTTCAAGAGAAAACCAAGCACAGCCCAAGAGGAAGCTTCTTCCCACAGTACTCACCCTCCCTCTGGGCAGCAGGCAGGCCACAGCTCGACCCTATGCAAAGCCACCAGGCTCAGCGAAAATAGGTGGCTATGAAATTCCCAAGGCACTAGCAGGGACTAGGGACTGGATGAGCTGGTGACACAACTGGAAGAACTTCTAGGGAGGAGACCATGAGAGATGAGGGGGAGACAGGTGGGATCACCTCTGCAGCCTCCTTTGTGAGGCCCCAGCCATTATCGAGGGCTTGGGGGCGGTGGGGGGGGAAAAGGGCAGAGTAATTGAGACCCGCTTTTCACTTACAGCCCATCATTCCTTCCAACTTTCTAAAGTTTTAGGCTGCTGACGTATGTGAAAAGCAGCTGGTCCAGTGTGATGCCGTTTGAGGACAGTGAGTGAAGAGGTACCTGACCCAGGTGAGGAGTGTCCCACCATCTCATGGTCAGAGGTGGTCAGTGCCTAGTTCTTACTTGGAACACAGCAGTGAAGAGTGGTTGCCAAAAGAAAAAAAAAAAGATTCAGTGTTAAATACGCTGAGTTTGGGCTTCCCTGGTGGCGCAGTGGTTAAGAATCCACCTGCCAATGCAGGAGACACGGGTTTGAGCCCTGGTCCGGGAAGATCCCACATGCTGCGGAGCAACTAAGCCCGTGCGCTACAACTACTGAGCCTACGCTCTGGAGCCCGTGAGCCACAGCTACTGAAGCCTGTGCGCCTAGAGCCTGTGCTCCGCAACAAGAGAAGCCACCGCAATGAGAAGCCCGCGCACCGCAATGAAGAGCCAACGCAGCCAAAAATAAATACATAAATGAATTTCAAAAAATAAATAAATACGCTGTGTTTAAGGAACCAGAAGCAGACATCCCAGAGGCCAGAGAAAGGCCTAAACCATAAATTGGGGAATCAGCTTATGGATGGAAGTGAATGAGGTCATCCAAAGAGAGTATGCAGAGTGAAGAGAGGGCCTGTGATAGAACCTGAATGACACCAGTATTTCAGCGTGTCCTAATCCAATCAAAGATCACCAGGGACAAATCCATAGTCCAATGAAGTCAGGTTTATTGACCCATTGCTAGGAGGAAGACAACACATCAGAGGAAAAATGAGATGTCCTACCAAACACAGTTCTTATAGGATTTGAGAAAGAGGTGGAATTAGGTGAAATTTAAATGAGGCAATATTTTGATGGCTCAAAGCAAAGCAGAACTGCGTCCGGACTGCTCAGTGGACTCAAGGTCCTGTTTCCTTGGAAACAATAAAGTTAAGGCAGATGTGGTATATATGTTTAGAAATCCCTTATCTGAGTCTCTGCACCTGGATTGTAAATCCTGTCCTTTTAGTGATTTAACTCCTCCAGGCAAGAGTTTCATTCCTACTTATATAATTTCAAACAGCAAAATTTCTGACAGTCTATGATTTTAGAAAACAAAGTTCCTCGGTAAGAAAGAAGTAGTCACTCAAAGGAGGGGGTTGTTATGACATTTTATAGTTGCAGTATATCCTTGGGGGAAATATTGTTTCTTATTAATTTTGCAGCTGGCTTTATCTGTGCCCGTTATTCCAGCCTGATGAACATCACAGCAGATTTTCACAGTCTGAACTAATTTTTAGGTTTTCAAGGGACACACAATGGAGGTGGAATCTGCAAAGCCTAAGTGTAGTGAGTAGGCAGTGTGGACAAAAAAGTGTTGCCTGACAAGTCAGTAAACAAAGAATGCTTCCTGCCATCCAGCCATCAGGCACTGCAGGCACCCCTGAACGGTGCACCCTGAGGGGAATTCTGGATGGAGAAAAACAGGATACTAGCCCTAGATAGTTAAGATGCATACCAAAGGAATAATTTCAATGAGCCCAGACTCTTGCATCTTCCCATGCATAGGCACTAAAACAATTAACTGGAGATGTCTGGTTTCTTGTGTGTGATTAGCAGTAATCTTTGGATGTTCACTACATGTTTTTTTCAGGAAAAACTCCTTGCTCCTCCCTTACGTCTTTGGAACAGTCCTTCAGAGCTATCTGAGAGGCTGCCATCCCCGGCTATAGTCCTCAGTAAGGCTGCAAATAAAACAAAGTTCTCAACTTTTAGGTGGTGTACTTACTTTTAGTCAACAGTAGGAAGAAAACTAAATTGTTAGGTCTCACAAAGCGGGAAGGTGATTGTTGGTATTGAACACTAAGAGGTCTAGTCTAGTATAGTGTGCCGCTGTCAAATATGGTAGCCATTAGCCATAGGTGGCTATTTAAATGTAATTAAAAGTAATTAATTGAATTTAAAAAATAAACTCAGTAAAAGTTTGTCTTCCTCCATGGCACTTAGCCTCATGTCAAATGTCCAGTAGCCACAGATTAGACGCTACCCTATTGGACAATGCAGCTATAGAATATTTCCATTATTATAAACAGTTCTTTTGAACAGCAGTAAGAGAACTCAAGAGTCCCAGGCGACGGTGACGCCTGGGAGTGCAGTCTCCTAAGAGTGATGGGGGTGGAAGCCCTGTGGGAGGTGCAGACACGTAGTGTGTAGTATTCTTTCTAAAACTCAGTCCAGCAGCGCTACTCTCTCCCTATGACAGCTATCGTGTAACTCGTGCGTACCTCGAACCCACAGCCCAGGCTCAGAGAGCGAGGCTCCACCACTTCACCGCGTTTCCCTGCCTGCACAAACTCACTACCGTCCCCACACTCCATCTCCCCACATGCCCCAGGCCCTTTTCCCGCGACTCTGGCTCTTGGACTTCTGGGAAATGTAGTTTTAACAGCGTTCCAACTCGGAAAAGTTCTAGCAGCGAATTGAGGCTCCCAAGAGGCAGTGCACGGGCCGCCATATCTGCCGTGAAGGGCGCCGAAGTCGGCACCCCTACTAAAGTACAGCGGTAACTGAGATGCTGGAGTCCTGGGAGACCGCGCTGTGCCTCTCCCTGCCATTCCTTAGGTCTCCGCCGCTCCGGAGCTGTAGAAACGCCTCAACCCAAGCAGAGCAGACAGGGCCCCAGGGAACCATAGTAACTGGGCGGCCACAACCACTAGGGGACTTGAAGGCAGCGTCCGACGGCGAACAGCCAGAAGGCCATTGGGCGGCCCCTTACGCGCAGCGCACGCGCAAATGCTGGGCCTCAAGGCTTCCGTAAACACCAAAGAGCGCCTGCGCAAACGGAGCGCTTCGGGGTGGACACGAGGGGGCGCCTTAGCAAAGGTAAGAGTAATAAATAGTAACGTAACCGTCCCGTTGTTTTTCTGTTGTCCTTTTTCTTATGGTTTGCAAAGCACAGCCCCCTTCATTGCCTCTCTTAATTTGATCCTTAGAGCAGTCATTTTACCAGTGGGGCAACGGGTCAGAGAAAGTCATACAGCCAGAGTCCTATCATCTTAAGAGTGTGGAAGACCACAGATGGTTCAGGATTCAAGGACTCTAGCCCAGGCTCTATCTCTGAGTTGCTGTGTGACCTTGATAGTTCTGTTCCCCTGAGGACCTAAGCTTTCTCATTTGTAAATGGAAATAGGTTATTGGAAGGATTGAATAAGATCCGGAAGTGAAACTAAGTTGCCAAGCAATGTATAAAGGCAAAAGATTATTATAATCGGGTGATTGCAGATTGAGGAGCTATTTCCTCATTATACAAATTGCAAAACTGAGGGCCCCAAGAGGGGCAGGAGCTTGCCCCAGGTCTCAGCAGTCTGTGAGCAAGGGCTAACGCACAGGCTTCCTGCACCCCAAGGATTAGTGTCTTTGTTGGATACAGGCTTAGAGAGACGGAGTCTGGAGGAGTCCCTATTCCTCATCCTTCTCCTACCCAACCTGGGCCTAGTGGAGAAAGGCCCTGTTCTGTTGAGATGACTACCAAAGGCCAGAAACTAAGGAGGAACTGGAGAATCCTGAAGACAGAGGACAGTGTTGCTGGAGCTGTACAGACCCTGCTTCTCAGGAGAGTGGCCCAGGTAAACGAATGAACTCAAGTGTGACAGATGAAGGGGTAATATGAAGGGGACAGACCCTGAATGGAAAAGAGTGGGCTCTGTTTCTGAGCCTGGGAGGAATTGGGTGCTCAGGTGATTCCAGTTGGGGCCAGCGACAGCTGGAGGTGGTGCCTGGGCTGGCTTGGATGCTAAGGAGATGAAGTGATGCTGGTTGAGCTGAGAGGCTGTAGGAGCCACTCCTCCAACCAGGTGGAGCAGTCAGGTGGCACCATAGGCACACCTTACCACCCCCCAAGATCAGGCAGCTGCCTGCCAGGGAAATGAACTTTTCTCTGTCCTTTGGAGCTGGGCTGTACCCAGTTGTTTGTCTCTGGAGTGCTCTTAGAGGTTCTGGACATAGGTATAGGAGGGGCTAGGAGACCCTAAGGTGTGGTTGCAGATGGGGCCTGCTCAGGCAAGTCATGAAAGGCAGGTGTTTGTAGAAATAGAAATTCAAGATCCTTGCCACCTCCAAGTATCTAATTCCCTGGGCCTTCACTTATCATCTGTTTTCAGCACGGGAAACAGAGGCTAAAGGAAGAAAGAACTTTTCTTCAGGACACACAAGGAGCTGGCGTAAAATTGGACTAGGACAGGGATCTTTCCATTACATGGCAGTGATCAAACATCTTCATCAAACATTTATTGAGTGTCTAATGTATACGCTGAGAAGAGCTACCTTAGGGTACAAACAGAAGCCAGGAGTGCAGTCAGACCTGGCTTTTAACTAGCCCTCCCAGTGACTTAATGCTGGGATCCTTGGCGAGTCACTACCCCACTCTGAGCCTCACTGTCTGTAGAGTGGCGTGGTAAGCCTTATTCAAGGGCTGTCTTGAGGTATAACTATGAAATAAATGAGTTAAGAACTGTTACGTGTATAGAACATCACCAGGCACATGGTACATGCTCAGTAAACATTAGCCACTCTTTGTTACTCAGGAACACAGGTGGAGGCCAGCTGCAGATAGGGTTCTCCCAGAGCCCAGCAGGGGCAGAGATGTCACAGCCCCAGGTCTGTCCATCTCCCAGATACCTCCACTCTGTGCCCAGGGAGCCTGCATTTCTGGAAGTCGAAGGGGGCACTCACATCCCCATTTCCCCCTCTGGCACTGGGAACCTGGCAGGGAGCACTTACACCTCTACATGCACGTGATTCACTTCCCCACAACCTGGGTCCAGAGTAAAGGTGATTCTTGCCCAAAGGTCACAGCCCTGGACAGTGAGACCAGAACCACAACCCTTTCTCCCGGCAGGACAGAAGTCCCAAAAGGCTGACAGCAGGGCCTTGACTTGTGTGTCCCTTGAACAGAGCAAGAGCCACAGGCAGAGAGGAGCCTGGGTGGGAGACAGGGCCCAACATCAGATAACCTGCCGCCAGCCCACCCTGTTTGAAGATGGCAGTCTGGCTCAGTGGTAAATTCAGCTCTGGTCCAGGCCTCCCTAGTGGAGGTCTGGTTCAAACCCCTTATTCACAGAGGAAGAAAGAGAAGCCTGGAGAGGCCGGGAACTCACCAGGAGCCCCACAGTAAGGTGGGAGTGAGTCTGAGCCAGAACTCAGGTGTCCTGATGTTAGGCCAGGGCTCTGCCTGGCAGCTGGTTTGGAGGGGGCAGGGCTTGGCTACATCTCCTTCCCCACGGCCACCACAGTCCCGCTTGGAGCCAGCCTCAAATGCAGCCACCTGGGTGGGTTGTGGTCGGGGAGTGGCAGGGTGGGGGTGGGTGCATGGATAGGTAAAGGGAGCGGGGAGCACAGGACCTGGTCAGAGAGAAGCCCAGAGCCGAGCTGGGGCAGGTGGACTGGGGAGCTCTCCTTGGTGTGTGTGGCTGCTGTAGGATTCTAGGGCCTTGTTAATCCGTCTGAGGCAGCAGAAGATAAAACTACCACGGGAGCACACTCCTGGAGGAGGGGAGCAGAGCAGATTCAGGAATGAGTCACAGAGCCCAAGCCCTAAATTTAGAAGGTGCTGAAGGAGGCAGCCGCCCCCGGGAGAGCACTGTGGAGATGCCCGCTAACGCGGGGCACCAGGGCCTCAGGGAAGGGGGTAGAGGTTGGCAGGAGTCCCCTGCACGGCAGTGCCCCATGGAAGCTGGGTCTGTTCTAGGCCTGTTCCAGGTGTGAATTTTGGCCCCAGAATGAACCCCGACTCAAGGCAGAGCCTTCAGCCCCACTCACTGACAGAGCTCCTAGCAAGCCTTCCCCACACCAGCCCTTCACAGGGTCCTAGGAGCCAGCCCCTGGAGTGTGGACGTCTCAGTACTGTCCTGCCCACTGGCTGGGCATAGCCAGGCTCCCTGGGTCCTGCTGCTGTCCTAGCATCCAGTTGTCAGACACTGGGGAAGGGGCTGTGTGGATGCAAGGAGCTCATGCCATTGAGCGAAGGCCTTCCAAAGGGAACCCATCCAGGCCTTTGTAGCTGTTTGGAATTGGGATGAGGGAGGGGGACAAGATGTCATAGCACTCTCTTCTGCTTTATTCTCAGCCCTCCAGGCTCCAAGTGAACCCAGACTGTTTCTTTTCTTCCATGTCAGAAGAGGGAGGCACTGCCTCCAGGTGAAGGAGCAGAGGCTTAGGAAAGAGGCCATGCCTTGGGGACAGCTGGCAGACGGGGGTTAAGGGGCCTCAGGAGACAAAAACTGATAGCAGCTGTGGTGTTTATTGAGTGCTCATTGCTTGCTGGGCACCGTGCTGAGCTCTCCACGTGCGTGAACTCACTTCGTCCCCGAGGCAATGGTGTAAGTCCTACTAGCCTACTCATTCTAGAAATGGGAGTACTGAGACACAGAGAGGTTAAGTAACTTGTTCTAGATCACACAGTAAGAGGTTTTAACCCAGACAGCCTGGCTCCATAGCCCAGGCTCTTAACCATTGTGGTAGACTGCTGAGCAGGGTATTTCACCCTGTCTATTCCTCCTCCTCTTCTGTCCTTCCCTCCCCATCCTCCAGTCCCTGTACCCTAGAGTCCTGGGAGCTTCTCTCTGGGCCTTGCGGGGTCTTGCTGCCCAGGGTGCTCCCAGGCTTGGGGGAAAGAGACTAACAGAGCTCCACTGCAACCCCCCCTCCATGCAGGACTTCACAATTTACAGAGCCCATCCACCTGCCCCAGGCCGGTGGAGGGGCATCCTGAGCACCACCCCTTCGACAGGAAGACAGACCAGAGAGGTGCAGGGCCTTGCCCAAGGTCGGCAGGGCCCAGGGTGGAACCATGGAGACTCCTCTTTGGGAGGGCCCAGGCCCAGATGGCCAGCACCCCCTCTGCAGGCTGGGTCCTTCTGCTGATGATGTCTTTGGGGCACTGCCGCCTGCAGCAGCTCAGTTCGATTGCTGGGTTGATGCAGCCTTCCACAAGCCCTCAAGTTTCCAGTCAGAGGCTCCTGATCCATCTGCCTGACCCCAGGCCCTCCCCTCAGCTATGTGCTCAGGCTGGGTGGCAGTGGGGGTGGAGGTGTCTTTGTGTGTCTCTGGGGAGGACGAGGTTTTCTGGCCCTTTTACCAGGGCAAGAACTCCAGCCTTGGGACGACAGCCTCTTTTCTGGAAGGCTGCACAACTTCCTTCTTTCCGTTTCTTTGTATTTTTTAATCTCAAAGCTGGGCCCTCAGTGCCCTGCCAGGACAGTTCCGACCTCCTGGGACTAGAGGGGCCTCTGGGGAGCACTTAGGATCACCCGTTGGATGGGGGAAGGGGCAGAGGGTCCACCCCCCCAAACCCCTAGGCTATTGTTCCTACCTGGGAGAGGCTCATCTAAGAGGCCTGCTTGAGGAGCTCAGACCTGCCCAGGAACACAGCCCAGCCCAGGTATAACATGACTTCCCTCGCACCCCTTCTGCCCCTGCCAGGGGACCACACGTGGGGATACCAAGGATAGGTTCTGTTTCTTGCTGGGCCTTATTTTTCTCGTTTGTCAAATGAGGCTAAGAGTCCCTGTATGACCTTCCACCTAAGGTTATTGTGAAGGTTAGACAAAATGAGTGTGGCAGACTCTTACTCTGGCCCAGGGCCTCTTCACAGAGAGGATGTGCAAGGCTGTTCGTGTGTGTGTGCGTGTGCATGTATGTGCACGTGTGTGCAACAGCTGTGACCCGGGTGCTGACTGTACCTTCCCAGGGCAGGTGAGGGACCGGTGTAGCTCTCTGAGGCTTTGTGATGTGGGTGTGGCACAGGGCCTCAGGTATAACGTTGCCAGATTTAGCAAATATTTGCTACATGCTCATACTAAAAATGATCTTCCTTATCTGAAAATCAAATTTCATGAGGTGTCCTGTGTTTTATCTGGCAACTCTACTTGGGTGACCTGGTGCACCCGAGCCAGTGTACCCATGTTGGGCTCCCACGCATGAGACTGAGGTTGTATGTGGCTGTGTGGGTCTGTGACAGGACATCAGTGTGATGGCACATGGCTGTGACAGTGTCACCAGGAGGAGAGGGGATGTGGGTAACTGTGATTGTGTGCCTCTCTGTGACTCCCTCAGGCTCTAGCAGCTCCCTCAGGGCAGTGCTTGGGCTCTTTACTCAGGGAGGCCCAGCAGGGGTAGGAGACCCACCCTGGGCAAACACTTAGATCCAGGTCCAGTTGGGACTGGGGTGCTGAGCCTATTGCCACCTGCATCAAACTGTAAAGGACATGTCTGTCTCAAGGCCGAGCCAGCCCTGGGGGCCTCAGGGTGCTCTGCCCTGGGCCCTTCCAGAGGGGCCTCAGGAATTACCTCTCTACTCTGCTCCTTCCTGGTGACATCACACAGGTCATTGCCCAGTCTTCTAGAACGGTGCCCCCAGGATACTGCCTCGTTACCCTAGGCAACCTGGGAATTTTCTCCGACTAAACTGGCAGGGCCAGTTACCCCTGAGGAGAGGGAGTTGGGGGAGAAGGCGTCAGGGGGGCCTTCTCCTCATCTTCCAGGGGGAGATCCAGGCAGCCATCCGTCTGACTAGATGATGAGTTGGAGGGAGCACCCCAGAGCAAGTCAAGACCTGGTAGCCCCTCATTGTCCAGGACACTGGACAGGGTGGGGCCCTTGGGCAGAGGATGAATCCTGAAGCAGAGAGAGGGTGGTGACTACCCCAAGGTCACCCCTGGGGTAGTGAAAGTAGTGGTGTATAATGGGGAACAGGGACAGAGCCTTGGGTTAGGAGCTGGGAGACCTAGGATCTTACCTCTGCTTTGTCCCTGCTGGTGGGGCCTTTGTTTCTCCATCTGTACAGTTAGGGGCTGTGGCCATATGATATCAGTCTCAGGGTCTTTAGTCCTGACGGGGACTCAGCGAGGGGAGTTGAGGGGAATGTGAGGGACCAGGTCATGGGTGGCTCCGGGCAGGTGCCCTGACCCTATTGCAACAGCTGTCAGGGGGCAGTGAGCAAGGACTGGTATGGATATCTCCAAACGACCGCCAACCCCCATTCCAAGAGTCCTGTGGTACTGGAGGTCCCTAGATGGGTTCTGTCTTACTTTGATTCAGGGGCGTCCCCATGCCTCCCACACCTCAGCTGCTCTCTCTGTGAGGGGCATGTGTAAGACCAGCACTTGCTCAGCACCCTGGGTAATGATTCCTCACATTCTCATGATCCCTCTCAGTTTGCTAAGCACCTTCTCTTTCTCTTACACGCTCCCGCCTTCCACTCCCACTCTGACTCCTGCTTGGTGTTGTCCCATTCTGGGTCTGGGGCCCAGAGAGGCACCTCACCCAATCCACTTTCCGTCAAGGGGCCCTGTGGCTGGTGCAGGGGCTGCAGCGGGCAGAGCAGGGTCATGCTTTGCCAAGCTTTTCCACTGTTTACTCTTTCCTGAGAATCTTAACAACCATCCTATCAAGATGTTACCTTAACACTTTTTTGTTGGAAATATGCCATTTTTGTACAGTGCATTTATTCCTCCCTACCCTTCTCCCTCCGGTTATATTTTTAGTTACTTGGAGGTGAAACTGATACATGTACAACTCTTTTCCTTGCAATAATTCTCAGAGAGTAGGTATTATTATTCTAGATGAAGAAACTGAGGCTCAGAGAGGACATGTCACCTGCTCTTGGTCACACATTTAGGAAATGGTATAGACAGGATTTGAACCCAGTTCCACAGGCCCTTTGCACTTCCAGGCTGTGGGAAGCAGGGATGGCCAAGTCCTAGGACTCCTCTCCAGACTCCTCCCCCAGGTCACCCATCCCAGCCCTCCTAGCCTTCTCTCTGCTGCCCAGGGGTGTTTGAGACAGGATATGAATCTGCTTTGATCCAGGCACGTTTGGGAGGCTGTCATGAACCCTTGAGCCAGAGATACCTAAATTCCTGGGATTTGGGGGGGCCTGCAAGGGCAAATTAATGATGAATACGATGAGGAGTGATGCCCCAGCTAGCCTGGCCTAAACTTCCAGGCAGGGTTGAGCCCAGGGCATAGCCATCTGAGCCCAGAGGTACCAGGTCACCCACTTTTACTGCCCCAAGACCCAAAAGATTCATTCTTGGTTAATCTATATTTGGATTTGAGTGTTGGTTTGATTTCTGCCATGTGTACCTCCCTGAGTTTGTGTGTCTCAGGCTGGCAGTGCTCTGGAGGGTGGAGAAGTCCTGTCTGTCCTCACTGCTATCTCCTGCTGTCACCCCAGCCTTATCTCTTCTACCCTAGACTGGGTGATAGGCATGAGAGGGGTACTGCCCTGGTGCCTGCTGTCAGCTAAGATGTGTGTCATTGGGGCCCTAAGAAGGCAGGAGCCGCCAGGCCAGTGCTCCTCTCTCTTTTCCTCGTGGCAGATCCCAGAGGCTACAGTTCACAAAGCAGGCTCTGTGTACCCCTCTTTGAATCTCCCATTAGCCTGGGTATGAGGCTGTCAGATAAACCACTGAAGCCAGGGGAGGGGCAGTGAACTGCCTAGGGTTGGGGTGGAGGCAGAAGACATGCATAACAGAGAGCCAGAGCGCTGGCCTCCTGAACCCAGATCCAGCCCCCCTGCCACCCATTTCTACACACTTAAAGAATGTGGGTTAGAAGGGCGAGGGTGATTATCTGACTATGCCCCTCACACTGGAGATCTAAGGTCATCACACAAGCCTCATGGGGACCTGCAACTCATTGTACAAGATTTACTTTGCAGAATGGACCTTGGGGTCACTTGCCATCAGGGCTCCCTGCTCACCCCCTCCACTTTTAAAATTGGGCCTCATTCACACACATCTCAGAGCCCTAAGCACTTCAGGAAGAAACACCTCTATTTGTGAACCCACCGTGACAACTCCTTATCTTTCTCAAGCACCTTTAAGAAAAGCTGTTCCATCCCAGAGCTCTAGGATGGTGAGGCTAGGAGGTTATACATTCTGATGCTCGCATTCTACAGATGGGAAGCTAAGGCTCAGAAAGATGATGGGGACAGCCAGAGCAGAGGAAGGAACCCTGGGGTGGGAGGAGGCTGAGATCTGGGTTCTGGGAAGGATGGCCATGTACTCTCCGTGTGGCAGTGGGCAAGTGATGGGCACTTGTGCCCTATTAGCTGCCCATCCAGGGGAGCTCACCACGGGCCCTAGCTCTCCCTAGCCCTCTGCAGTCAAGGGCAAGTCACTAGGGTCAGTGAGTGCTAGCCTTGGGCCCATTGCCACACTCATACTGGCCTCACCTCAGAGAAATTGAACTATTGGCCTCAGTTCACACGGGGCAGCTGGAGGCAGAGCTGGCACTAGGACCCAGGGGGGCAGGTAGCAGCCTCCCTGGCTGAAAGGGGTGGCTGGAGTACTGGTGGACCTACCTACCCTGTGGCTGTGGAGCTCTGGACAGCTCCGCCTGGGGAGGGACAGGGTAGCCCCAGAGCTCTGGGGCCAGATGCTCTTGAGAGCCTAGTCTAATCCATGCGAGGTGTGTGAATACATGCGTGGGTGCTCAGGAGGGGTGGTGGTGGACAAGGGCCAGAGTCGGGCTGGAGGAGAGCCTGGTTAAAGCTCCCAGCCGGGAGTGAGATGGGAGTGGCTAGTGGTTGTTGGGGGCTGCAAGCTATGGGCTCTTGACTGTGGTAGGGGGAGTGTGCCCATCTTTGGGTCTCTGGGTGGTTCCTTGTGTCTAATTAGGTTGTTGCAGAGGTGTGTACCTGTGAGTATGGGAGGGTGTTGAAGAGAAGGGGTTCGCAGGTAACTTTCAGAATCCCTCTTCGAGCACCTCCTCGCCCTTCTTCTCAGAGCCCACTCTATCTGGGCCCCTCCCCGACCCCTGCCTGAGGACTGGTAGGGCCAGGTCCCCTTCGGAGGCGGGTAGGGCGGGCGCTAGGACCCGGCGGGGCGGGGCGGAGCTCCGAGACCCATCTGCTGCACCTCCGCAGCCAGGAAAATACCGAGCGCCGGCGAGCGGAGCCCCCGGAACCCCCAGCCTAGCCCGGGGAGAGGGAGGGAGGGAGCGGGGGCGCGCGGGGCGGGGGGGGGGGCGCGTGGGGCGGGGCCGGCGGCGGGACCCACTGCTCCTCCCCCCAGAGCCCCCGCGCGGCCCCGGTCGCCCGGGCAGCGCGGCGGCGGCGGCGGCGGCGGCAGAGGCGTTCGCACCTCCGGCCCCGGCGGGCCCCGGCGGAGCAGCTGGCACAGGTGAGCGGGCCGGCCCCGCAAGCACCCCACCCCACCCCCACCACGGGCCCCGCGCCGGCGCCGCTGCCGAGTTAGTTGAGCCAGTCCGGCCAGCGCTGCGCGGACCCCGCCGGGCCGTCCGTCACCTCGGGTCGCGGCTCCCCCCGGGTCCCGACGGGCCCCCCCCGCACCCGATACGCAGACCCCACTCCGGCCCCCAAACCGGAGGTCTGGGTCGCGCCTAGTGAAGGGGTCGGGGGGCGTACTGCTCTGTACCGGCGGTGCGCGCTGGCCAGCCCCTGCCTGTCTCTCTCTACCCGCCAGGACCCCGGACAGCCGCACCCGCGCCCCCAGCGCACTGACTCCGGTTCCCAAACCGGTCTTTCAGGTCCCTGGAAGGTGGCGTCAGCATCTGCAGCCGCGTCGACGTTGTTGGAGCTTCCGCGGAGGACCCAGGAGAGCCGGACTAGGACCAGGGCTCTGAGCCTCCCCCATGGAGAAGTCAGCTGCCTCAACTGAGCCCCAGGGGCCTCGGCCAGTCCTGGGCCGCGACAGCGTCCAGGTGCCCGACGACCAGGACTTCCGCAGCTTCCGGTCAGAGTGTGAGGCCGAGGCGGGCTGGAACTTGACCTACAGCAAGGCCGGCGTGTCTGTGTGGGTGCAGGCTGTGGAGATGGATCGTACCCTGCACAAGATCAAGGTAGGGTTGCCCTGCAGAAAGTGTAGTCTGCACTGCACCCTTACTTCCTCTGACCAGGGAGTCTCCTGGTCCTCCCGCAGGGTTACAGACACGCGGTTGCACACCTCAGACTCTCCTGTGAGAAACCAGGAGGAGGCACAGTTTGCTGGGCAAGCCCCCATCTCACAGGTGGGCCAACTGAGGCCTGGAGAGGGGGTGTGACTCCCTCTGGCTCACTCAGCCAGAACCCAGGCTTCTGCACACCCCTGCCTGATCCGGGGAGGTGGGCTGCTGTCAGGCCTACCTAGGAGAATGGTCTCCCTCAGGGAGCCCTCTGCCCATGGAAGCCTTCACCACGTCCTGACTTGAGTCATCTGAGGAGGGAGACTGAGCCCTTCTCTCCTGAGTTCTTGGTTCTCTCAGCCTGAGCTGGGTCTCTTTCCCCACTCTCTGCACCCTTGGGTGCCAGGGACCTGATTCCTTCCTGTCTGATGCTCTGCTCTTCCCCCTTCCCTCCTGGCTGTTCCCTGAGTCTCTCCTGCAGGGACTCAGGATCCTGGCTGGCAGATCCTGAAAGCAGGGCTTAAATGTCTCTGCCTTACACAGGGCCAGACTGGGGGTGGGCTGGGGGAGGAGAGGACCAGCAGATGCAAGGAAGATGTAGGCACATTCAGCCTCCCTCACAGCCATCAACCCCATTCCTCACAACCCCCTGATTTTCTTCTCTTTGCTTAGATAGGGCCGGCTTGGGGTTTGGGACCCCGTGAGCCCACCTACCCTGGGGAACTAGATGGGGAATAGGCTGGTGAAGGCTCTGATTAGAGGCCTCGGTAGCTTCCTCCAACATAACACATCTGGCATTGCTGTGAGTGCCACTTTGCAAGGGGGCAGGTCTCCCTTCAGTGGGGTGCTGGCAGTAAACTGTACCCTTCCCTTTCTCTTGCCTCACCCTTCCTGCTGTCCTTCTCGAACATGTGGAGGAGTGTATTCCTGTGGTGGAGGGGGACAGAGGTGGAAGCAGGACCCTGAACTCAGAGGGCACTCCTGCCCTTCCCCTACTTCAGCCCCTCTTGCCTGGGACCTGCTCTTGGATTTGGATTTAGCTCTGGCATCATGGCCTCATACCAGGGCCAGAGATGTCTGACCTTCCCACTCTGACCCTGTGCCTTTCTGCCTCACTTTGTCTTAGTCATTTAGACCTTTGTCCACCTGTCCCCGTGTGGTCTTCTGGCTCACCCATTCTGTCTTCCCTTCTTCCTTCTATAATTCTCTGTCTGCACCCTGGCTATCTGACTGTCTCTTTCTCTCTGGGTTTCCATGTGTGTCTCCCCTCCTGGGACTCTCTACCCAGGCCTGAGGACCCTGGGCTGGGGCCTTCCCGGAGGCCTGACCTGTGTCTGAGCCTGAGGAGCAGGGAAGGGCAGGGCAGCTGGTATGTTCCAGCTTAGTGCTCTCTGAAGACAGGGACAGGTCCTATCCTTCTTTGCGTCCTCAATCTCCAACACAGACAGAGCAGGGATGTTGGTTGAATGAAGGGTGGAAGGAAGGAAGGAACAAAGAAACAAACTGAATAAAAGGTGAGCAAAGTTGTGAGAACAAGGTTGTTTTCCTGACTGTGACCTAGGAAAGGCTCAAAGGCTGGGCTGTGCAGTGGCATGGGCAAGTGTAAGTTCCCCACCGAGCTGGCTCTCCAGAGGGAAGAGAAGGGGAAAGTCTGAACTGAGACCAGTACTCCCACCCTCTGTGTCAACAGGGCGGAGCTGCCTCCTCCAACTGGCTTGGTTAATGAATAAACCCAGCCTAGTCCAGGACTGGAGTTGGCAGTTCTGGGGACCAGAGTGCCACAATGGACCCCTTGTGGCCAGATCAGATTTGTCAGGTGTTCTTCCTTGGGAGTGGAGGGGACTTGGAAAAACAGGGGTATTGTGGGCTTGTGGTCAGGGCATACACCTGACCTTCCTTCCCTCTCAGACCCAGCAGAGGTTGGAGGTGCCTTTACAACCCCAGTTTCATACTCACCCCTCACTGGGGTGCAAGTATGGACACCGAGGTCCGGAGAGGAACAGGGGCCAGCCCAGACTCACACAGCCAAGTC